CAAGATGGCCGCCCCAAATCTCGTCAACGACAATAGGCGAGAGCGGTCCATGAGGCGTCTATCCTTATATTATGTCTATGGTTTCTGTCACAACCCCCGCGGAGGTTGCGACAGAGAGCACACATGCGTAGATCGCACGGCTGCAGGGTTTAGTCTGTACATTCAGGGTCTGATAGCAACAAAAATAACGGCGGACAACTTTATACAGTGTTATACTACTTATACCTGTTCAGTTTAGCGCAATTTCTGATGAGAAATATATGTGCTAAATGAGCACTTCCTCCATAGCTTCCACCAGACAGAGATGGTGGAAGCTAGTGAGGTGGAAGCTAAAGCTCAAGAGCGCATGCTACAGTCACAGCGCCATCTAGCGGCCTGGCATGACAACTACAGCTGGCTGAGGGCGTCTTCCCAGTCAACATCCGAAAATACTGTTAGTTTCAGGGCCTAAAACTAAAATTATCACTCATTACTGAAATTGTGACAAAAGTTGTGAGAAAAACACATTTGACTAAACCTTTACTAAAATGTGCAACATTGTGTAGTTGTATTATAACAACATGGGAAAATATTCAAAGCCTACTAATATTTGTGCAAGGCAATTTAGTTTCACTCCTGATGTCACACTGTAATTTCATCAGAGATGTAGCGTTTTAACCCAAAAATTTATCAACTAAGGCCGATTTTGAACACATTACAAAAATGTGTCAAATTTCGACAGAACATGTGTTGACATCCCCTCTATTCTTCAAGCAGGCACACCCATTCGCAACAACCCACCATAGAGTAAAACCCAGTCAGAAATGCTAACCTGACTTAGCCACACCAGTCCCAGAGCACCAGTGTTCAGATTAACTGTCCTTTTTTTCCTCCATTCACGCCACCAGCAGGGGTGCTTTGCCTCTATATTTATCATCACATTCCCAGTTCAACTCTTGCATACAATGACACAGCAAGAAAAATCGCCTGTTACTATGAGACGAGTGAAGAAGGAGGAGGAGGGAGGGAGTGAGAGGGGGTTCTGAGATGTTGAATGAGGAGGGGCTGTGAAAAAAAGCAGAGGCACTGTGAGGCAGGCGGGGAGGAGGTGAAGGTGGAGAGGAGAAGTGGTGTGAGATGGAGGAGGAGGAGGAAGTGAGGATGAGGGGGGCCTTGCAGAAAGGATGATGTCATGTATTTAGGCTGATTGCTGAGAGCAGCAAAGCCATAAGCAAAGTACAAGCCACAAATACACAAGCACACATTAAGAGCCTGACCTGCCCACTCACTGCTCTCCTTTCCTCCGTCTGTCTACGACTATTCCTGAACAATGACGGTTAAAGGTTACACCATTATCCTACAGCTCATTTTTTTAAAATCATGTTGAAATCACTCAAGCTTTAATAAAACTAAGGTTTTATTTTACTTTTTGTTTTGTGAAAATGTGGTCGCCGTTTGTGCTAAAAACAGCTCTGTGGCTGCGCGACAGGGGTGGAAATGTCTGGACTCCGGTTGTGTGCGCGTTCACAGGCGTGCTGGCTACAAGCAGGGGAATTTCCTGTGCAAGGTTAACGGGAGATTGATTGGCCGGGACAGCTAGGGGCTCGTCCGACGGTGAGCCGCCATTGGCCCGTCGAGGTTCTGGTATGACGCTTTAAGTCCAGGCCTCTCGCCCCGTCCAAATCCTGTCCCCCCCTACACCTCCTAAACACCTCCTCTTTCTTTCTGTCTCCTGCTTTTTCTTCATCTCTCTCTCTTTCGTTCTTCGCCCCCCTCTTCCTCGCTCTCTGCAACTCACATTCCATCTCTTCAGTGTACTTTTTTTTTTTTCCAGAAACACAGCTCAAGCAGGAAAACACACAAAGCGATTCTTTGACTCTATAAATACGATGCTGGTAAGAGGACAAAGAAAGATTCAGTTAAGAAAAAAAAGAAGAAAAAAAAAAGAAATTAATAAAGCTTCAAAGGGAGACCCAGCAAAAAAAGTGAGGAGGAAAAGCAGCTCTTTCTTCTCTCCTTTTCCCCTTTCCAGCCCCCCTTGAGTAAATTATTTTGGGAGGGTGCAGGGATTGTAAGTAGAACATGGAAAACGGATAATCCTGCAACTGCCACACCTCCCTCGTCAGGAGATGCAGGCGTACGCGCGTTCAGCCCATGCTAGGGAGCACCGGCTTCAACGCCCTGCCCAAACAAGCTTATTATGCACATCCACACTGCAATCTGCAACTTCAAGGGTTTAAGGTTGAAATGCACAGACAAACCGCCATAACCTCTCTTACTCAGTTAGCCATTTTCAGTTTTAGCAAGACGTTTAGAAATGACGCCGGAGACGGAGCAAAAGCTGCAACAAGCTTTTAGAAAGGAAACTGTTTTCTAGAGACACCCACTCTGCAAAAACAAATCTTGGCAAATATTTTTTGTCTGTTTCTAATGGAAATATATTAGTACACTTGAAATAAGACAAAACTAACTTACAAGTAACTTTTCAGTAAGATATAAGGAGCTTGTTTTAAGTCAATAATTCCTTGATATTGATAAAAGTGCTTATTTTGCTGGCAGATTATTTCACTTAGATGGGAAAAATGTCTTTTTATAAGTAAAATAGTACTTTTTCATCAACATTATTCACTTAAATCTGGCTCCAATATCTTGCTGAAAAGTTACTTGTCAGTTAGTTTTGGTTTATTTTAATGCATAAAGATATTTGAACTAGAAGCTTAGTCAAAAACACTTGGTAAGACACTTAAAGCAAATAGGCCATTTTTCCAACTACCCTCTTTAACATCTTTAAAATATGACAAGCAATCTCCTTCGGCTTTGTGATCTTGATCACAAAGATGCAGATCAGGTGGAAGAAAAAAACCCAAAACATCCAAGATGTCAATTTTATCATCGGAGAGAAGCACCTGAAATCCTATTCTGCCGTCAAATACTGCAGCCGAGCAGTCCTTTCAAAGTGTGATATTGTACACACTGACACTGCGATCACAACTGCAACTCAACATATTGTGTAGCTCTAGTTGCAATGCAGCACAGTCACTAAAATACACAAAAAAACAAAAAAAAAACAAAACAAAACAAAAGGAGGAGCATGTGATGCTACGTCTAATGAGCTTGGAGGTTGAGGATTAGGTTACAGGTGGGGCTAGTACATGGTCTTTTTATAAATAGTTACATATGAATTTATTTGGAGACATAACATACAGAGTTTCCAACACATCCATTCATTTAAAATCTCAGGGTTTCACTCCTTTGCGCCACTAAAGCCCCTGCTAAACTTCGGCACACCCCAGATAGAGTCCATCTACCTCTGGAGAGGCACCAAAAGACCCACAAGCACAGAAAAGATCTGCTGTAGGCAAATAAACACGGCTATAGTGGAAAATTATTCCCGTTTAATCTGGTTTATATGCTTTTAACTACGTGTATCGGCGCTTTTGTACACCATTAAGTCCGATAAAAGTAGCCGACGTCAATACCCGACAATGAAAATTGCTTTAAATCTGATCGCGATAATCTGAATCCATGCAAAATGTAAAGAAGGATTAAAGTTTGACTTCTATAGAGGCAAAAATTTGCTATTTGCCCTGTAGGCGCCTCGGTGCATCAGAGCCACACCGGGACGAGTTCCCCTACCGAGACCGAGGACGGGGTGGTGCTCCACCAGCGTCCAGGCATTGTCGTCCACGCAGTGGCTCTTGTAGACCAGCAGCTGACACACGTCTCTCGCCGTCATGTCGGCTGGAATCTCCACCACTTTGCCGGCGCCATCCTCGCTCCAAACCTTCACGATCTGAAGAGACACACAGCACAAATGAGCACGAGAACAGTGGAGGTCATGTTTTCCACAAGCAGGAGAAAGAGAGAGAAGAGAAAAAGAAGAAAAAAATAAATAAAAAAAAGTGTGGTGCACGGTGTGTCCCGAGTTGCTCCCAGGAATTAGATTATGTGCAGAAAATAATAATTAAACAGCAGTGTCTAAATTTACCTCCATAACCAGGTCCACCCTTAAAAAAGGCTGTGTTCACATGATTCTGTCACTCGAACATGAAGTGGGCTTTTAAAAAAAAAAAAAAAAAACCCAGTAGGATGACGTCCAGGAAAGGCTGGCCTGCCCCTGCGCCTTCAGTTCAGCCCTTTTTGTTCACAACACAACCAAACTTTGTCCAACACCAACAAATGCGCATCTGAACCTCCGCAAAAAAAAAAATTAAAAAAATCCCAGACGCAAGAAACGGACACCTTCGGATAAGTCTACACAAAAGAAAATACAGAAAAAAGAAGATCCTTCTTTTAAAAAATCCCACACTCGCACTTCGAGATTGAAATAAGTCGGTGAGTTTGTAACGTGTTGAATTTTGTCATTAAAAATGTCACCGCTTGGAGCTGCGAGCGGGTCGGGTTTAAAGCAGGAGAACCTCCCATTGTTGCGCCATTTTGAACCATTCCAGCCCAGTGCCCAAAGCGACATTTAAACCGGGTGTAATGTTGCCCTCATTCGAGTGTGCTGCTGCACAGATAACCCTCGCACAGGACTCTCTCTCACCGAGGGGGAACTGACATCAGAAAGTGTCTGCAAACCACAGAAATGACGCCGCGACGCCCGGAGAACCTCATAAGTGTGCGTGCTTGTGTGTTTTTCGCCCCTCGTCGAAGCAGAAATATTTTTCTGCAACTAAAAAACCGCTGCTTTAGATGACATGAAACAAGACAGAAAAACCGGTGATGGCCAAGGGGGCTGGACAGGAGGAGGAGGAGAGAGGGAGGGAGCGAAGGAGAGAGGGAGGGGGCGGAAAATGAAGTCGGGACGAAAGCTCTGCAAAGTTTAAAAAGAAATAAAATAACTCAAAAGGATTTAAAACGTAAACTGCCTGGGAAAAAAATAAAAACACAAAACATCACCAGGAGCAAGAGCAGCGACACAAAGGCTCACTCTGAAATCTGAAACAACGTCACTGCACTTTTTCTGCCCTCTGCAAAAGCCCAAAGGCTGCCTCCTCTCTTCCCACATGCCCCCCGACAAGAAAAAAAAAAAGTTAATGTATGACGCATGAGTTTTTGTTTGAGGAAACTTTTAAAAACACTAAACCAAGAAAAAGAAAAGAAAAAGAAAAAGCATGCTTCCAAACTGACACTCGGTTGCTTCTGGAAAGCCCGACACAAGCCTCAGAACAGAAAACTGGAGAAGAAACACACACTCAACACACACCCACCCACACACACACACACACACACACAACACAGGTCCCTTACCTCCACAGCCTGTAAGAGGCAACAGTCTGGAGAGCAGGATGGCATTTTCACACTGAGACGCTCTCCAGTGACACGGAGGGACACAGAGGGAGGGAGGAGGAAGTCAGGAAGGGAGAGAGAGAGGGAGACTGAGCGAGGGAGGAGAGAGAGAGAGAGGAAAGGAAGGACAGATTGGCGAGGCGAATGCAGGAGAGGTAACGGGGGCGGGGGAGAAAAGAGAGGGAGAGGAAGTGACAGAAGAAGGACGAAAGTAAAGGAGAGACGGAGGAGGCTGCCCGTTGTTCCCGTACTGAGCTGCGAGGAGCGGTATGAGCAGTCGCTCCTTTCCTCCTTCTCCTCCTCCTAGTGAATTAACCCAGAGTGGGATTTTTTTTTCTTTAACCAGGGAGCTGCTACCTGTCACGTACTCTCTTATCTCCAGGGTTGTGTTTCATCCACCTGATCCCCCCCCCCGTGTCCAAAAAACTATCTCCGTCAGCTCCTTTTACTGATGGCGCCACACCATCTCTCCCCCCTCTTTTTAAGACACGCCCACCACTCCTCAAGCACACATGCAGACGAGCTCAAACTACCGAGCCAATCGCAGGACGGAGAGACTCATCCCTTATTCTTCTGCATCTTCTGACATTTCCTTTGAGCGGGCTTGACGGTTTCAATTTCTAGCCCCTCCCTTTGCCTCCTGTCATCTTCCTCCTCCTCCTCCTCCTCCTCCTCAGCTGCATGTGAAATACTGGGCAGAAGTGTTAGGGCCATAGAAACATGTGTAATGCACACCGACAGCTTGAACATTCACGAGAAAAGAAAAAAAAAAGAGGGTAAAAGAAAAATTTGAAGTGGGAACTAATTGGATGCGGAGGCGAACGGATAACGTGCCACGCGTTTGGGGCAAAACTGGAAGGGTCAAGGAAGAGCTAAACAGTTGCAAAGAGGGGGGAGAGAAAGAGGAGTGGAGAAAAAAAGATCTATGGAGGAATGTCAGTAATGCAATACTGAGTCATAATCAGGCTCATGTGTAGAGAGCCCAGGCCAAACCCAGCTGGCCCCTAATACAGTGTGCGTGAGAACTTTGAGGCACACACACATTCTTGAAAGAGGAAGACAAAATGTAAACTATGAAGACCATCTGCAGAAGGGTTTTTTTTTTTTGTGTGCGTTTTTTTTTTTTTTGCCCCCCCCCTCCCGACTTTTTTTCCACATTAGTGTTGGACTTTTCCTCCTGACTCATGCTGCAGCTCCTGAGAGAGCCAGGCTCCTACCAACTACATGGAGTCACGCTTGTGCAGGGATATTCATGATGAGATGAGCGGGTGCAGGAAGCGATAACGAACATACCGCGTGCGTCACAAGGAGCCAACGTCTTCCTCCTTCTCTATCTGCTTGATTTCTGGTCCGCTCTCATTTCCCGCCCTGCTCACATCTCCATTTGATTTGTTAAATTTTGTTCTTTTAAGGAATTTATGTAATGGACCAACTCAAAAGATGGATAAGATGTTTTTATAGCAGAGAACTTCAAAGCAGCGCTGGGTCTGAAAGCCATGTCCAACGCTTTAAAAACCTCGTTCAATTTATCGTCTGAAAAGGGAAGAAGAAGCGTCGCAATTCACCAAGACACGACGGGAAGGCAGGATGAGAAGAGCATCAATCAAGAGAGCAACAGTAGTGATTCTGCTATCATAGCACATCATAAATGTGGCCTTCATGGAAGCCTGAAAAAAAAAAAAAAAAAAAAAGGAAGCCATTTTGGAAAAAAGTATGGATAAAGTTGAGCAAAATTCTGGGAGTTTTAAAAGTTGGAAGCTTTCTATTGGAGTTATCAGGAATTTAAAGGGGGGGGAGGGGGAGAGAGAGAAAGATTTTAAAATAAAGAAGACTGGATTGTTGCAGAATATGCCAGTTTTAGCATATTCTGACTAAAACACCAAAACTTTACGCATATATAATCAATGCTATTCCACAATCAACACTGCCTGCTGCAGGGGTATTGAGGCCAAACCCCACACACACACTGTGCTTTTCTTCATCATGATGTCTAGGACCATGAACAGCACCTCCATGCTGATTACAAAAAAATGCAGCAAAAATATTGCAATATTTAATATATATCCCATGTATTATATTAGTGTTTAACTTGTAAACATCTTACGGGTGTCTGTTTATGACTAAATATGTTTGCTTATTTGTGGATATAATAGTTTTTCTTAAATGACATCCAATTCCTAACAAAACTCACATAATTCTCATGGATGTTATTAAAGTCTGAATATTTCTGAATTTCCCTCATCTTATCTTCTGAACATGAAACCATTAGTGTGTAGATCTGCAAAGCTGTGAGAAACATAACCTAAAAGATGTAATCGTAACTAAATGGGGTTCTTCAAAACCATATTTTCTGTCAAATTTTAGAAACGTGTGCATCTTTTTCATTCTTCCTCACAATTATGCACTACTTTGTGTTTGACACATAAAATCCCAATTCAGGACACCAAGTCTAGTAAATGCAACAGGATAGAGTGTGAAAATGTCCTAGAGGTAAAATATTTTTAGCTCTACTATTATTATACGTTTAAAACTAACTCACCTTGCCTCGTTTCTCCCTTCCCCCCTTCCTTCTCTTTTTTCCCTCCACTTTAATAGTAAAGGGTGAGAGGTGAAACGCTAACAGGGTTTATTGTCTCCTATGCCACTTATGGCAACACACACACACACACTATTGCAACATATTGGACTGAGGGGTTACAAGCAGACACCTGCGCACATATGACCAAACACACACACACACACACACACACACACACACTATGGGTCAGAGGTCAAACACAGTAATCTGCACCTGGGTCAGAACCACTTGCCCAAGAGGTTTATGAGCCCCTAAACCTCTTTCTCTCCCTCCTTCCCCCTCATACACGCACACATTTTTACACAAGCACAGACGTATCACAATTGATCTGGTTGTTTTAAGCCGGAGCCAGCCTCTTCCTCAGTAACTCGAGCTGCAGAGTGAAAAAGACTTCTTTACTCAGTGGATGACTCTGCACACCGTCTGCTTTTCTGTATATAAACACTGAACGCAGCCAGCAGATAACCTCTCCAACAGCTTTGAATAAACAAAAGCTCGGCTGCCTGCAACTAACAATTACAAGATGTTGTGGAGGTTCAAACTACATTTTTTTTCTCCCCTAAAGCAAAAGAAAAATGCAAAAGAAAAGTTAAAATAAGCAAACAAGATTTGCAATATTGAAACAAAAATGTCAACGTTTTAGATGTCACTTTCCAGGTCTTAACTTTGTTGCAAGTTTCTTAAAAATGCCATCATGGCTGTCTGAGCTGCCAAAAGGGGGCTTAAAGCTGCGATATGTAACTTTATGAAATGATTGATCTGCTCCACCTATTCCCATCTGAAGAAATCTGAAGTTTACTGATCCTGAACAAAAAACCAATCAGAGCCAGGAGGAGGATCTTAACGCTGTTGATCCTCCCTGGGAATGTGCTGCTAAATGTGCAAATGGCGGAAAAACAAGATCGATTATCCGCTATGCTAAC